TCTCTCTTCTCTCTTCTCTCTCTCTCTCTCTCTCTCTCTCTCTCTCTCTCTCTCTTTAAGCTCCGGCTGAAGTACGGGCGAACGTGTCGGTTTGAAAAATCAATTCTCGCGCCTTGAGCTTCGTTATTACCTCCGCCCAAGAAAGAAGAATGTCTTAAAGAAAGAATTTGATTTGAGTATTTAATTTTCAAAATACTTCCTGAGCGTACGCTTAAGCTGTTTAAGATGTCACAAATTCATAAATAAGATAAAATTAGAGAAAATTTTTATATTTGAAAAATGCACAGGAGAATGAATCGAATTTTCTCTTTTTACCTGAGAGCAGCAGTTTTTCTTGGCGATTGTTTTCGTTCTGCGTGCGTTGTCGCGTCTCCGTGGAACGATGAGTCTCCAAGAAGGCCTGCCGTTGTCCTCGGTCCGTCAGGTACTTGGTGTACATACCGGCCAGGTTCACGGCCAGATACAGCAGCACGTTCGTCGTCAACATGCGGATGATGCACCCGGCGTCCTGCAGCTGCGAGAGACTCAAGATTATTTGAAAAATTCTAAAATAATAATTACAATTAAATAAAAACACGAATGTATAGTCGAACTATTAAGAAATTAATAGACGTACAAATTAAATCAGAAGTAAAATTCAGTACATATATAAAAAAAACAAATTATAATCGGGATTTTGGCGCGATTGTTGGCATTTTTTAATCAGTATTAAAATTTTATACTCGATGGAATATCATTTGTTGCTGAAATTGTTTAATCCTCGACAAAATTTTTATTCGAGTAAATATGAATTCAAAAAATCTCTTCGGTTGAAGAGTGAGTCTGAAATAGAAATTCCTGAAATGATCTTCTCACGTATGTCGAGTCCTGCAGGAGGCTTATGCCGGCCATCACCATGTGTGTTAGCGCCGTTCCGTAGCCGGCGAGGACGCACCATCGCAACGGCAGAGGCAGCATCGCGTAGGGCGCATATACGATGAAGAGTATGTACCACATCAGCCGTTGCTGCGTGGTGAAGTTCAGACCGGCACCTATGAAACCTGAAAATGGCCACGGGACGCGGTATTACAAAGGTTCGTTTCTTCTCTCGAATATTTCCCGATGCATAGCGTGCTCGATCGAGGAGAGCCGAAACACTGAAATCAGGATGAACCCTGAACGGGAATTATTTTGGGCATTCCTATTTTTTTTCGCGTATCTCGAATCTAAACCCGATGAAATTACCGGTCTCACTCCCCGCTTTGCTCCACGCTCCGGTGAACGTTCGCCCGATTTTAGCTGGCCAACGGAGCAAAACGCCATTTGATTCAACTGCAGAATCGATACAGCGAGATATTGATGACCGTCGAAGCTATTAGAACAATGTAAAAGTTTTGTCGTATTTGCCAGTTAAAGTTGGGAACAAAGTTGGTAAGTTTTAAAGTAATTTTTTTACGCTTAAAATTAAATAATCGTTATCGGCTACGATATATATTGTTTCCATCAAGGAAAACTTACTAATTTTTTCTTCAGAGAGCTTAAATCTAAAATTTAATTTGCAAAACTGAGCTCCATGATAAAACGATGAAATCCTTTGTATCGGCCTGATGTTTCCAAATCGAGTAATTATAATTACACCGAGTTATAATTATGGGGATCGATAGGTCAGAACGAGTCGCGTGGGCCTCACCTTGAGAATTTATTAATAACCAAGTGAATATCGAGGCCCAGTACAGGTAATTATTAGAAAAGCAACGCCACCAGCCGAGCACGCAGACTACCAGATTCGCCGCCATGCAACACGCGGCCCACGATAACCCCTCGATGAGTCCTCCACCATTCGGGTCCCGTTGCCAGAGCCAGATCGCCGTTAATGTGATCTGCGTCATGCATAAAAATCTCTTCGATCACGTAATTTACCAGAGAACACAATTAACTTTCATGGGATTTTTATCTTCTATTATTTTTTCTTCATAAAAGAAGATGACCAAAAATCTACTAGATCAGACAATCTTCATTTCAGATAAAATATAAATGTAATGTCCTTAATATACATGTTTTTAATTTAAATTTATAGGATAATATCTGCATTTTTCTATACAAGTCCAAAATTATTTAACTTTATGAGAAATTAAATTAAAATTAACTACATGTTTTTTAAATTATTTATGTAATAATTTTGTATAATAATTCTACACGATCTCAGTTAATAATATCATATCCTACATGATTCTGAAATAAAATCAATTTGGTTGATTATTTCTCATTGCTATTGTACTTTGCTCACCTTCAGGCCGAGATCCACGATGTTCAGCATTATCAAAGACTTCTGTCTTTGCCGATTCGAATAGAGAAGGTAGGACGTCTCCAGTTGCTTGCTATGAAAGCTGTTGGTCAACGAGGGCAGGAATATTCCTTTGTACAGCATCCCTTTTTTGAAGACATCTGAAATCACACACATTCCTAGTTTCTAAAACGGTTTTGAGGCAGCGGTTTCAAGAGACCAGGATTTTCAACGTTCGGGGGGGTTTCGTACCGTGTTGGGTTTGCGCTTCCTCGTCGGCCACGGGCTGTTCTGCTTCGGCGGCAGCTTCCGGTTCCGCTTTCTCATCATTTTCGGCGGGCGCCTGACCGACATCCTTCTCTTCGGCGGCGACTTCGGGATCCGTGTTGGACTTCCGGTCTTCCCACGCCGCCAGTCCCTCCCGACCTAGCCTCTCGGAGGTCAATTTCTTCACCGCCTTGATCCATAACTGTTTCCTCGGCGAAATGCTCGACCTGTTTCAGGATTGCCATGTGTAATGTATTGAGTCATCGTATTACAACGAAAAAAGGAAGATAATTCTAATTGGATCGATAGCGTCATGTGGCGTGAAATTTGCTCACAAACATTCTACTTTACATAAAAATTATATCACATTTCATTTTTCTTTTATATAATATAATTACGTAATTTAAAGAAGATGGCCTAGAATTGAAATGTTGAAGAAATATTTAACTTAAGAAACTTGGACAAAGGAAAATGTCATTTTCCTTTTATATTTCAACGATATAAAAATAAATGGACAATTAATATTATTGGGCGATCGAGTCATTTCTATCAACAATTTATAAATAATTTCACTGTGGAAACAAAATCTATTCTCTTCTATCCAATTATCAGATAAAATCTATCTTTGTACTTATAAGTCAAGCGAATTTCACGCTTATTCGACGGAAAGAAACGGCAAGATTGAGTACTCACTCGTTGATGCTCGTGACATCGCTGTCCAGCATCATGCTCCAGGTCTGTTCTGTAATCATTATCTCCCCGATGATCCGCGGATCACGACTGACCGCTCACGTTGTGATCGTCAGTAAGGCAACAAGTGCCTTAGCGTCATCCGGCATTGTTCATAGACACCTTGAATGAAAACTGACTGCGAAGAAGCGACGATTTGTTCGCACCACGGCGACGTTGCGGGGCGAACGTCGTTTTTCACGAGAAGGTAAACTCTCGCAAGAGAGTTCCCGACAAGAGAGATCGCTCGGTCCACGATCGCGATCGCGTTCGACGGCGGTCGATCGACTCTTTTCAACGAGATCCGGCCTGACACTTTAGCTTCACGACCGGCGGGATGCGAGAGGCGTCTGATCGAAGTATCATATCTTTTCCTTTCTCCTCACGGTGTATCGGGTCGTGACGAAAACGCCTCCACGGGGACGCCTACGTGCATTTTTTTCTCTAACACTTTCAAGTGTTCCTTTAGTGGCTTTAAGTATTATCAACTTTTTCATCAGTATGAAAAAATGAATACGCGACTGCGCGCGTCTCGAGATATGTGAGGTCTGAAGAAAAGGAAGCATTATCATAAAACGGATTACGTTTAACTTGGAATTGGAAATATTCTTCGATTAATTATCGCTTTCTGTACGTGCAAGTGGTCTCTACATACATTAATATGTTATATTAATAATTGTATATAAAGAAATGATAACAAAATACATTAAAATATTCACACATCCAGCAAAATATTATAAACTTAATATTTAATTAATTAGGAATTTTTTTGATCCTTAATAATTTTCATCAATAATTCTGAAATTCTTTCTGAAATGCTTTCTTTTTTATCAGACATCTTGCACTTTTAGATTCTCTCTTGAGTCTCTTTGTTATGTCTTCTTTATTTTCATCACGACTCGACGCACTTTCGGGTGAAGAAATGAAATGAAGCGAAAAGTTCAATCGCGATATGATAAATAGATGAAAAAAGTGTGCAGTACTGTTTATCAGAATTGCAATATCAGAAAATCATAATCGTAATAAATCCTACTTTTATTGTGATTGATTTAAAAAATAAATTTCATAGCTTCTTGTATATAATCCATATATTTTTCATCTGTTTTGCAATTCTCACAAACAGAAATGTATAATCGAAAAGTAACTTCAAATTTGTACATCGAAAGTAATTTGTGTGAAATAAATATTGTGCGTTAAAATATTTAGAAGATTGCTTTGTGTGTTGAAATTTTACCGAAGTAGTGCTTTCTTTTTTAAATACGATAATGAGTAGCTTACCTTAATCGTCAATCCTCGGCAAATGCTCTTTTCTGCCGCGTTCTGGCATTGAGCCCGAAGAGTCACGAGAACACGAAAATTGCGCGCGCTTCTAAACGAACCGACGAGCGGAATCTACGAGATGCCTGTAAAGTTCAACCAGTAGCCCCCATCATTATCGGCTCATCCCCCCTTGCTGAATCCGACGATCCGGAGAAGGGGTGTCATTGTCGGGATAGTCAACAATGCATAGCAGTTAGAATAGTGTTGTTATCATTATATTGCATTAAGAGATGATCCTTGCATATATATAATATGCATATATATATATATATATATATATATATAATAAATAAATTTAATAATCTAAATCTATCAAAATAATAAAAGGTTGTTAAAAATGCGTTAAAAGATAATATTGAAAAATTGAAAGTCTAATTTGTGTATATATATGTGATGTGTTGATTGATTATATATCCTATATTTAAAAGTAAAAGTCACTATTCTGAGGTTGGGTTATATTACTGGAGAATAATGTCTGCCTGACTTATCGCAGACTTATACTACGAGTTTGAAGTAAAGATAGAGATGGCTCGTAGCCGAGTTTGTTAAAATTAAAAGTTTGTTTTGTTGGTTTGTTGTGTTTTGTTTGTATTGTGACATATTATTAAAAAATAAAAATGGTCGATATGATACAAAGTTGTATTAGTGGAAAATTCGTATTTGACTATAAACTTCAATACATCTTTTCCATGAGTTTATAAAAGATAATTATATTAATTGTTAAAGAATGTAAAGAAATATAATTATATTGACTACAATTTATCCAAAGTATAAAAAAGAAGTATAAGAAAGATAATATAATAGCGTTTTCGACTGCAGTCAATTTTGCATCCAATTCAGGAGGACAAGGGGCGGGGGGTTAATGTTGTCACATGCGAGAATTGTCCAATTAGAAGCATATAACGTCATTAACTTACCTCAAGTTGAGTTTAATTTACTGCATTCGAAAACGCTATAAGAAACGTAAAATACATATAATACATATAATTGATATAAAAATGTATAAAATTCAGTCAATGTAAAAATTATTAAAAATAATTAAAGTATTAATTTATAATTATTTAAATTTTATGTACTATTACAATTTAGAATTTAAAATGTACAAAAAAACAAATTAAACTTTATAAATTAAGAAAGTTTATAGTTTCTAACACATGAAAATAGATGGAAGTTATATAGTATTAGTATTAGTATAGAAAAGCGGGGCAGTGATTGGATATTGCATTGTCGTATTGCCACAGTAAGAAAGAACAGTAGGATAACTTCTTAGCGGCACTTTTGTTCTGAATGCTACACGATCGCCATGTTGTTGGTTGTGCGCGGGCTACAATTTAAATTGATATGCGTTAACTAAAGTGAACATATTAGATATATTATAATTGCGAAATAATTGTAAATACAATGATTTAAACAATAGTAAAAATAAAGTTTGTTTAATTTTTAACCTTTAATTTAGTTACACACACACACACACACACACACACACACACACACACACACACACACACACACACACACACACACACACAAATGTTTTGATTTTGCAAAATTTTTTTTAATCTTAAAATTTATATAGATTAAATTTATATGAAATGAAGGTAATTATTATTAAAAATGTTTTTGCTTATCTTGTGCTCAAAATTATAATTATGAAGAAAGAATATTAGCGTTCAGAAATGAAAAAAATTCTGTAATCATTATTTTATTTTTTTTTTATTATTATTTCAAACATCTTGCACAATCTTGATCATTTTAATTCTTGAACTTAATTCTTCACTGATTTAATAGTTAAAATTATTATCTGATTAATAATTATAGTTATTATTCAATCTTAAATATTTTAAATTAATGTTTTTTATATTTACGCATTGATTTGTATTTATTGTATTTATCTCGCCGATGGTCAAACGTATTGCAATTTTTTTTCGCTAGATTGTGCTTCGATGTAAGCTTGTAGTTTCCCTTCTATCCTTCATGTTAATTTTGTTCGATGCCTTATATTCATGCATTCATGTCGTATTGAGCAGTAGAGAACTAGAAAGGCAGCAGCAGGCAGCAGGTAGCGGATAGTGCGATAACTGTAGCGCAAGAGATCGTGCGGGAATTTATAAAAGTAAGGTTAGATACAACATGATGCAAGAAAATATGTAAAATATTTAATTGCAACAGACATTACGACATGTGGATATTAATAACTAAATAAATGTTAGATAATTAGTGTAGAGAATAATTAATTGAAACCAGAACTATAATCTGAAAATATTGAATTAGTATTAATTCAATATTAATTTAACATAATCTGTTAATTTTATTAGATAAAAATATATTAGAAGTTATATAATTTTTATTTAATATATTAATTTTGCTTATATAAATCAATTGCTTTTTTTCTTACAGGAATACATTGAGAATTTCCTTAAATACCCTTAAATTTGTTCATTTAAAATATAAACAAGAATGCATTGGCTCAAGATTTCGTGTATCCTTTGTTTGTTTGGATGTTTTAAGGAGTTTCGACCTTCCGAATCATTTGTGACTGATTACTTGACTGGATCATGGAAGAATTTTACAGCTGATGAAGTTAGTTTCTAACGTATCAAATATTTTCATGTCTATTTAACAATTAAATTATATTAACATCAATCTTTCAGGTAAATCAGCAAATCTATCCTGTATCCACATATAGTTACTTAGCAACACTGGTACTCATCTTCTTGATTACAGACTTTGTCAGATACAAGCCCATTATTATATTATGTGGTGTCTCTGGCAGTATTACGTTCCTCATGATAATATTTGGAAAGACTATACTAGTATTCCAGATTTTAGAATTTTTTTATGGCTTATTTATGTCCACAGAAGTAGCCTATTACACTTATATATATGCCAAAGTAGATAAAAAACATTATCAAGCAGTAACAAGTCATACCAAAGCAGCTACGCTGTTTGGTCGTAGCTTGTCCAGCATTATAGCACAATTAACAGCTTCCTTCAACTTACTGAGTTATCACGAGCTTACTTATATAACTCTTTCAGGTACTTAAGATAGACATACAGATACTTAAGATAGACATAATTTGATATATAATCATGTATAATTGTGTGTAATTATAATTTGTTCAAGAATTATGATATTGATTTATATGATATATTAAATATATTATATATTTTATTTTCTAGCCTGTATTTTTGCGACGGGTTGGTCACTTTTCTTGCCTTCTGTAAATCAGTCAATGTATTTCCATCGCGTCAGCATTTCCGATGAGGAGCAAGGGACACGAGCGCTTGATCATCAGTTGCAATATTCAAGTAGTCCACAGAATGTCGAAAAGAGCAAAGCGAAGCATTGCCGTTTTGCGATATCAAATGCGTCGTTACTTCGTAAGATTAAAAATGCATATGCATTGTTGTGGAAGCACTTCATACAGGCCTACACGAATTACCGTGTGACCAAGTGGTCGATCTGGTGGGCACTGGCTACATGCGGCTACTTGCAGATCAGCAGCTACATTCAGCTGCTATGGCAGACCGCAGTTAAGCCGGGCGACATGATCTACAATGGTGCCGTGGACTTCATCTATGCAATCGTGGGTAAGAAAGTGGCTTTAATTGTTCTTGGTAGAACAGGCATCTTATTCCTCTAAAATTAAAATAGATGGTCAGAACAAAGGAACAAATTCTAAACAATAATTATATTTATTAATCGATCCAAGATAAAGCGTAGCTTTTTCAAATGTGTCAAATTTTATAAAATTTTTATTTGATGAATTTTGTTTTATGAAATTCATTTGATAAATATGAATATTGTCGCAATAGCTACAATCGTTGCAGTTAATATTATCTGTCGAGCAGCAGCTATTGCGTTTCCCTAATCTAAAATAAGTAGATTCTGTGCGAGATAAGCTTAATAAAGATGATTGATAACATCACGCGTCAAAGTAATAAACAATCTTAATAAAAGTTAACAGATAATTTTATCTTTATTATATATTAAAAGAACGAACTCTGAGTATATAAATAAAAATATAGTTGTTTTAACTTTAACTAATGTGCCATTAAACTGCGTAAAATATTACATTTTAGAAAAGCGTTTTATTTATATTATATAATTAAATTATATTATATAATTAAAATAAAACTATTTAATTTAATGTAAGAATTATTAAAGCTTATCGATTAAAGCAGAGTGAGATTAGATGCGAAACGCGTTAGACGTCTCTTATCTATGAAATCACATGATAAAATTTAATATAATATCAAATGATAAGATAAGAAAATATGATTGAAATTATTTAAAATTAAATAAAGACGGCATTATATATATATATATATATATATTTTTTTTTTTCTTTTTGCCAGGTGCAGTAACAGTATTTTGTGTAGGAAAGATACAGTTAAATTGGACCTTGATAGGAGACGTGATATTATCTATATTTTCACTCCTTGAAGGCGCTATACTATTGGGATGCTTTTACAGCTACAACATTTGGTTCCTATACTTCGGTTACATTGCTTTCGGCGTGGTTCATCACACCATGGTCACTGTTGCAAGGTGAACAGGTCGTTGCAAGGTTGTCGTTACAAACGCAATTTAATCGAAAAATTCTCTCTTCCGGAGTTGAGATAGATTCTTGACTCGAATATAATTATAAGGATATATGAATAAAAAGAAGAATCGATAATCAAATTTTTACTTTCATTTGTTCGTAGTTTTGAGGTCGCCAAATCCATATCCGAGGATAGTTACGGCCTCGTATTCGGGGTGAATACGTTCTTCGCATTGTTGACCCAGAGCTTGCTAACTCTCGTGGTCATCAATACGCTCAAGTTAAATATTAGGGAGCAGGTAAAAATAATACGCTGAACGCATCGGCGACATTGGGTATCTCTTCGAATAATACCGAAAAATTTATTTGCGTTTCAGTTCCTTATCTATGGCAGCTATTTCATGATCCTGGCCATAGTGTATATTGTGATGGGCATCATCAATGTCATGCAGCATTGTCGAAGCGGCGCAGACTTCCATGTGTGGATCGGCGGTGGTGATAGATGTCTATCCGTGAACAATGCAAATGATGTGAAACACGTAGATAATTGAGATTGACGCGAGTAATTTTATGTACATAGTTTTATGTACATAGTTTTTCTAATTGTTAAATAGTCCACGTTGTGACTGTTTTTATAAGATAGTTTTATCATTGATATAAATCATTTTATATCATTTTGTTCCTAGAATTTTATACGTAGTGATACGTAGTGTACTTATCGTACAAATGATATATATGCAGTATTAAACTGTTGATTGTTAATTATTTTTATAAAATAGTCAAAATACTTTATATTGGATGCCGATTAGATTCGTCATCTTTTCTTCTTTCCGTTTTGTTTTTATTACAAGATGAGGAATTTTACATTTGTCTCTTTAAAAAAAAAAAGCAGTATAATAAAACTATATTTGCGATTAGTTGTAGTTATGTCAATTAAGATTGTAAATCAATTTTATGTTAGAGAAATGATGATTTTTCGTGCATCCAATTCCGTATTATTGTTTAATAAAAAATGAACAGTAAATAGTTGTTGACATTGTATACGATCTGATTGCATTTATTTACTTTTTTGGGGACTTTTTTGTAAAAAGAAATATATTTACACATATCCATTTTATAGGAAATTGTTTTGAAATATATTTTTATTTGAATGCAATTTTGTTAAATAAAAATCATGCAAGTAAAATACGGTTTTTAAATTATATTTATGTTCTTAAATCTTCTTTTATTTATTCCTTTAAATAATAGTTCGCACAAAGCGGCCGATCGATTTTAAGAACGCGAAATGTGTTTCAATCAATCAAAACTATTTTTAGGTATCAAACTTACGTGTTATCAGAATTAGTAGCTATTTGGAAGAAAGGAATCTATATATTCTGATTGAAATTTATTGAAAATACCGCGCCAAATCAACAAGAATATAAATATATATAAATATAAATTAATGTCACTAATTTAATTTAATAAACATAATAAATTAAAGCTGAAATTTAAAAATTAAATAATTTTTTAATTGGATAATAAACTTATTAAATTTTCAATCATGTCAAGTTCGTTTATTTTTATTGATTGCCTCAAATAAGAATTTTATTTTTTATTAATCTTTTGAATTAAGAATAAAATTCTTTTACTTATAAAATATTCAATTTTTTAATTAAATTATTTTATTCAATTGTTAATTGGGTTCAATTTTTTTCAATTATTTCTTTTCAATTCAACTTTTTCTTCAATTATTAACATTGATTTAATAAACGCGTTGGCAAACAACGGGTTTCCCAAAGCTCTTTTGCACCGCAATTAGCATTTACATTGTTATTCAATTTGTTTGAACGGATGTCTGTTTCCAATAATCTTTTTCCGGTGATGGTAAAAGCTGCGGTCCATCGTGGATGAACGTCGTGCTGATTCGACTGGGATTTTCCCAGATCCGTGCCGAAAGTGGTGTGTATAAGCATGTAAACACAGGCGTGTAAATGAGAATGTTTATGTGAGTACCATCATTACATATAAAACCGTCGACGGCGATGCGCAAAACTGTAATCGTTGATGCGTTTCACCATAAAACGCGGTCATTCGCAAAGACGTTTCTTATCAACGAAAATCTTCATAATCAGTGCAATAGCAATAGCAGTCATCATGATTTATCTCCAGGTAAGATTAGATTCATTGAGTGGAGAAAATCCTTCATGATATGCGATTTAATATTTAATTTAAAAAAACATGGTATTTTGTTGATTGTTAATTTTATTCGGCGGAGAAACTTGCGTCTTTCAAATTTAATATTTAATCTAATCGGAACAAGACAATACGCTTTCTCTCGGTCATGAATTTTTATAATCTTTTTCTTTTTCCGGAATGGAAAAAGTAATTTGTAACAATATGATCTACTTTTATTTCATTAAAGGAAGATAATTATTTGTTGATGTCTTACAAATAGCAAATTTTTCGTAAAGAAATCAGTTTACCGGAGGAATTAAATGTCTTGTTTGCCGCGACGATAACGAGGCTTAGTGAGTATTGGATTAACATTATTAACTTCGCGTTAACGGGGTCGTTAACAAGCGTGAGTGACACTACTTCAGAGAATACCTTTGTTTGTCAATTAGCCAACGTGCCGCAATTAGAACGTGACATCGTTGCACGCGCGCCGTTTTATTTTTCTCTTTTGGTATATATTAATAAATGGTTGTAAATCCCATTCAACTTGTCGTTTCAAGGCTCGTTTCGACATGAAATATGCGTAGACTTATGAATTAAAGAACCTAATTGCAAAAAGAATTTTCGCAAAAATTTTCCATCGAATTTTTCATCTAATTTGCCATCAAATACGAATGATGACACGCGGAGAAATTAATTTAGCTCGATGTATAAAGTTGTTTTATATAGCAAGAAAAAATATTTATAAAAAAATTAAAAAATATTTAAAAATATTAAAAATATTTATACGATTCTTCGCTTGTGACATCATAATCCAATATAGCTGAAGTGAGGGATCATCAGTCTTATGTGTAACATACGTAATCGCTAATTAGGCCAATTGACCTGTCAATCTTGACTTATCTAGCAGTCGCAGATAGACAAGTATAAATGAGAAATCACCAGAGGTGATTTAGTTCAAATTTATGACCTAATAAACTTATACCTTATAAACTTATGACCTTATAAACTACATTCTCTCAAATTTGATGAATTTTCGATGAAATTTAGTAAAAATTTTTAATACGAAAATTAATAGACGAGAGAATATTGAAAAATAAAGTAAATTTTAATGCAAGCTCTGAAAAATTGTGAAAAATCTTAACAACTTCGGAAGTTCATTCGCAAAATTTCTTATTAAAGAAATTTTTTTTGAGTCAACCGAGATAAGATTTTGGAGATAAATTTTCCGAAGGAAGAAATCTTTTATGGGAAATATAACGCATGAAAGATTACAATGGCCATGTAAAGCGGCAGAGATTTTCTGGCAATAAAGTCACGATTACGACTGGGCATTTCCAAGAGATAAGGAAGTAATGATTGGCTCGCGCGGAAGATACATAAGAACATTCAGGGTCGGA